CACAGCCCTACCTCAAACTGCTAAATGTTTGAATCCTTGACACAGTTGCATATTCCAACAGTTCCAACAGGTCAATGATCCAAAACACATCAGAACTGGTTTTGGAATGAATAGAGAGGGCTAACGTTTAACTTCTGGAATAGCCTCTCCAAAAAACCTGACCTCAACCCTACTGGGTCTGTGCCAAAACACCAACCAGTTTTAACAAACTCTATTAACTCTCCCAAGAAGAGTGGTCAAATACAAGAATTTCGCCACAGTCTTGCTGATTGCTACCAAAGCCAGTTGGCCATAGTGCAACGTGGAGCATTTAACCAAATAATTGTTACTTGTGATCCGAGAAAATCCAAAATGGATTTTAAAGGCACTGAAGATGACAATAATTTCTCCCTAGAAAAAGGACAGCTCAAAGAAATCATTAAATGTCCAGAATTACCATGATGAGTGTGTGTAAAAGTCTGACCACTACTGTATACTTTGCAAGTGATTATAAAAAAGACAACAGGATAAGATCCTTGTTTTATTACTTCCCAAGAGCAGTATATTTGAGAAAATACTTTTCAACTCACCATAAAGATAGCACTTGATTGCACACTAACATCTGCTCTGCTGTGATAGTACTCTGCTGCATGTGCTGCCGATAGTGCTGAAAGTATTGTAAACAACAGAGTCAGAGCTGTTCTGCAGGACAAGCTACGAGTTCACTACATTCTACACTGTTTTCTTAAGTTCCCTATTACCAAATATCAAACAACATCAAGATTTTTCCCCGACTAAGAATGGACTTTTGGTTGCCAACTATGCCACCACCAGTATATATGTGCCATTTTCTTTATCTGCTTAAACGACAGGATTCCACTTTTATTGCTTATTACCCAAATTGGTGTTAAGCCCCCCCAAAAGTCACCTCTTTACTGCCCCAGTATTTGCAGAAGTGTGCTTTAAAGGGTCAACTCAAAAGAGTGACTTGGAGCAAATAGGAAAGCTCTTTAAAAAACTGCATTGTAAAGCATAACCACCAGAGAGCACAATAAGCCAGATAACTTGTCTTTCATGTATTTAGTGGGTGTAACAGGCTTACCGATGTCTTATCAGTCGTCTGAATTCACCCGCTGCTCTGTGGTTTTGACAGGACTTTGCAACTCTTGTGCATGCTATTTTAATTTTGTATATCTTTATCAAACCAGTGTTATCTCTTGTGAGTGAGATAAAAGAAAATGCTTTTAAATGATTCTGCACAGAATTACTGGACATGCAGTTGGCCATTGAAACTGAAGCAGAGCACTTGAACAGGAAGCTTAACTTTATGTGGTTAGCCAAGCATCGCAGAGCCTTTGAGCACATACAGGAAGTACCATCGATGCTCTGTCTCAAAACGTACTCACTTTGCCTGTGAGCCATCGTTCTCACACACCAAAATATTTGCCTCAAAATGTCCCAGGGAAAGGATCAATCCTTCGCCAGCCGCTTTTTTAACAAATACAAAAGTAAAGGTAGCCAAGAGAGCAGAGTACAGGAGAGCGACGCGCCTCATATCTCTGAGTTCACCATCATGTGGGATAAGTGCAGTAAGTGCAGTTCATTGCTTTACTCTTAGATTTGCCCGCCACTTCTTGGGTTTCAGGTTTGCATTTTCAACCTTTATAGTTCTGTAGAAACACTTATTAAATCAACTGATTCTGTGTAAATTGCATTATTTCGAATTGTTTTTTGGCACGCCTCTATTTTTGTCATTTGCAAGAAGCTGCCTAGTTTCATTACTGCTTTTAACTATTTAGAGGTACCTTAACCATCAATTTAACAACCTGTGTTTGTCCATTGTTTTAGATCTACCAGAGAAGGCATAACGCTTTGTAGTGCAGCCCATTTGTGGTGCTTCAGCTGCTCACATTGTCTTAATATCTGTGTCTTGTCATTGTGTGATGTTTTGCAAGAAAGAAATGCGTTTTATGTAAACCTTTAAAATGTCTCTTCAATCGGTGTTGTTCTTTGTCCTTCACAGACCAAAGAAAGGCTCTAAAAGTGGCACAAAAGATAGAAAGAGTTCGATTTAATTGCTGAATACAGTCTGGTGTTAAAAAAAGACTGTGGGCTAAAATAACTGCTTGTTGCTCAATTGTTTAAAAAAAAGAAACTATTTTCTTCATGTTGCACAGTAAGACGTAAACTTCCTTAAATATTTTAGCTGACGTTTTCAGAGACGATAAAGGAAGCCACCAAACCAAAATAATCACATCAGTGTAGAAGAGTTTTATACGTTTTACATTTAGTCTGGCAGTAGGGTTTGCCTTACGTTGTCTTCTCTGTTATCATTTTGTTGTGTGAATCTAAAATGTGTTTTACATTATTTTCTTTCAAGACTTCATAAATGCTTCTTCCTCTCTTTCTCTTCTCCATCGTTTCCATCCATGTGGATGAATGTTCCTGCAAACCCTTGGTGAACTGTAGAGACTTTTGGTATGCTCATTTTTCCATGAGGCGTCCCGAGTCAAAGAGTGAAAGTTTGTTGTCTCACTTTTAGTCAAACTTGACTGTATAAATTTAAATTGGTAGCAACATACCAAAGTGTAGCAGCACTGTAGGCTCCATCTAATGGCTCTTTGACTTTGGAAAGCTCATGTCTGCAGTGACTTTCACAGTACGCTGTCTTTCTGTGGCTTGCTCTGTAGTCTCAGATCTGTTCTGCATTTTGTCTGCCTCACTGCCTTTACCCCTTCCTGAAAGAGATGCAGAATAGCTTGCCTTTAAATTGGCCAACTTGTAAAGTCCTCAGAGCTCTTTGCATCACTTTATGAATTAACATGTCCTGCTCACGTGTGTGGTTTGAGGGTTTGGGTTGTTTTTTTTAACAGTAATATTTTTTCCTCTTTTGTCAAGTATGACATTTCCTCCCTGGTACTTGACCTTTGCTTGACCTTGCCTTGATTGTGTGAACTGCCCTTGTTTGTTTTTCTTGAACGTGTTAAACTATCCCAGTTTGTTTTCCTGAGCATGTGTGCTGACCTTGTCCGGTTATCTAAACTCTAACTCTAATGATCAAAACCGATCTTTTCTTTTATAGTGAAAGAGTTCTTAGCTAAAGCCAAAGAAGACTTCTTAAGAAAATGGGAGTGTCCACCACAGGTAGGTTGTTGTTTAAGGGTAACGTATAAACGTTTTCTCTGATTAGTACACTTTGTACACTTTTTTTCTTATTTGAGTAAAAATGAGAGATTCAGTTGTGCCTCGTCGTTTCCTTCTTGTTGACTTGAATGCCCTCTGATTGCATAATTGTGTCAGAGGCATGTGCTTCCATTAAGCTCGTGTTTTTGAGCTACAGTGCATGAAGATAAACAGCTAGTGGCTTCCATAAGTACACATAGCTTAACATTTGCTAGCGTTGGTTGTTTTCCTGCCACTGATAACGTGTTTCCTTTAGTGCACAACAAGCCTGGATGACTTTGAAAGGTTCAAGACCCTGGGGACTGGATCATTTGGACGAGTAATGCTGGTGAAACATAAAGCAACAAACCAGTTCTATGCCATGAAGATCCTGGACAAACAAAAGGTAAGCGAACGGCTTGAATTTGCATCCATAAGAGCTGGTGTTGTAAACTGCAAAGATGTTGTGTTTCTCATAAAAGGAAATGGAGCGTTTCCTCTCAGCGCTAACATTATGTTTTAGAAAACCTCAAAGGCGCTTCACGCCGCAGTTTCGATCTTTAAATACTGATGTGAACGTTTAGAGGCAGATTGGCCTGCCGGTAGTGCTCACGTAGCAACCTCGTGTTCCCCTGAATTTCACCATCAGCTCAAGAGGTGAACCTGTCTAGCTTTTGGTTTCACTCAACAGTTATAACCACAGCTTTCACACTTTTCTTTACACTGTATGGATGTTATTGTTTGTTTCTGCAGCCATTACTTTCCACTAACGTCCTCCAGAACAGCATGAGACTATACCGTCGAAAACACAAACTGTATATCCTGTAAATGTCCTGCCGAGCGATGTCTCACAGTTTGTTTGGTTGGTGATGAAGCTTGATGTCTCACAGTAAGCTCATAACCAAAAGCATTTTCTACTCTCAGCTTTTGGCTGCATAGCTCGTGGTGTGCACAGTGTCACTGGGCAGCGGTTTCTGCAAGGTTTTGTGCATCAGCTCGTGTTAAATAGATTTTTTATCTTTCGACTGTGTGACCACGCAGCAATAACAGGACTTAAACACCACAGGAAGTCCTTAGTGACGGATTATCTATCTTAAATTGAATAGTTTGATTTTAATGCCTCACCAAAATTTACTCTAAACTGTGTGGAGAGTCACGGAAACACAGTTAAAAAATATAAAAATGTAATACGTTTGAAACTGCGGTAAAACAAGAGGGCACTTCAAAGAGTTATTAACATCACCTGGAAAATCATCGGCCACCCCTTTCCCTGCCTGAAGGACCTCTACAGCACCTGCTGTCTCAGATGAGCACACAGCATGGCGCCGGTCTGAGGAACACCCGGGACGCTGGGCGTTTTATCTGCTGCCCTCTGAGAGATTTGGTCACAGACAAATAAACCCAGTTTTTACAACAAGCCAATGACTCTGATCATTGCTAATACCTGACCTGATCTGATTAGCTATTTTCTTATGTTTGTGTCTCTGCACACACATTTCATTTTTACACTTATTGTATATATTTTATTTATTGTGATTACCGCTTGCCTTTATTTTAGCACGAGTGTGGGACAGCACTCCAACTTTGTTGATATGATTTTTTTGTTTATGTCTCTGCCTTTTTTCTTTTTTCCCCTTTAGGTGGTGAAATTGAAGCAGATAGAGCACACGCTAAATGAAAAAAAAATCTTACAGGCCGTCTCCTTCCCCTTCCTCGTCAGACTGGTGTACGCTTTCAAGGTAAGGACAAAACAAAGGTGTAAAGATTGTATTTGTTCCAGACAGTTAATCCTGTCGGTTAATTGGCCAACATGTCGTCATCACATTTAGATTAAATACCGAGTCCCCTGGTAGCTTTTGTCCTGTGACAGAGTTTTTTCACACAAGATGACCGAGTCCAAAGAACAGAAACTTAACTTTAAACTGCACATGTGGTTAGTCTGTTGTCCCAATGTCCTTCATTTCTCATATTTATATATATATGTATTCTTTAAATTAACAGGACAACTCAAACCTCTACATGGTAATGGAATATGTTCCTGGTGGGGAGATGTTCTCACACCTCAGACGCACGGGGAGGTTCAGGTATTACACACATAATTATTGTTATCGTTTGGTTGTTTTTGTTTGCGATTGCTGTTGTTGCCACAAATAGCTGAACAAAAGCAATTTCAAGTGTTCTGTTTTGGTCTGTTAGTGCTATAAATGAATTAGAAACCTACACCTGTATAGTGTTTGACTGAGTTCTTCATATTTTCCGTCAGTATCTGACTGTCTGTTTCCTTCTCTCAGTGAACACCATGCTCGATTTTATGCAGCTCAGATAGTGCTCACCTTTGAGTACCTTCACTCCTTAGACCTCATCTACAGAGACCTGAAGCCTGAAAACCTGCTCATAGACCAACATGGGTATATCCAGGTATATAGTCAATGTAAAGAAAGGCATCAGCAAATCAGAAACTGTGTTAATAGGACAGGCTGGGGGCTGAAGCCTTCAGATGGTAGTTTATAGCTGGACAAAACTAAAGCAAGATTCATCTTAAAGACTTTAGTTGACATTGTTCTGTGTTTGCAGTCAGTCTAAAATCAGACCTGAGAGGTTGTGACATGTACGTGCTCGATGTCGTCTCTAAAATAACGTTCTATACTGCGCTATACCTGTAAGTCGTATTAGCCTAAATTATAAATAAACATATGAAGAAGACAGGATTTTTAATCATCTCTACCGGCAGAGATTAGAGCCACTGAAACTGTCACTAGATTAAAAGCCACGATAAAAAGTCTATTACACCAAAACAGATCTGCCAATCTGAAATGTTAATTCGAGTGTTAAACTCTGCGTTGTAACCTGGTTTAACAGTTTTCAGAAAACCACAGTTCTCACAGGTCCTGCATGTAGTTCAGTGGGTT